CTTTTTTCTACACCTTCCGTCCAAATGATTATTCCCCATGGCCTTAGAACACTTGACATCAATTCATACTTCTTCTTCACAGTTTTCAAAACATTGCCCTGGCCTTGCTTAGCTCCACGAGACACTCCCTTCTCTTTCAAAAAATTGGTAAACAGAAGTATTTTTGCTCTCACTTTTACAAGGTGCTACTGTGTAACCAGAAAAACATCTTTGTAACACAAATTAGCTTCCTAACTTTTATCACACTTCCAAATTCACAACATAATGTATTTAAATTCCTTAGGATAACGAACATCTATACTTCCAAAAGTAGCAAAACGTTCGGTTTAAACATTTGGAAGACTTGGATCCCAAGACTACCTTTCGTCCTCTGACTCTAGAATCCGTGTCCTTCATCATCAGAACCAAGCAAGAGATTGTGAAAGTCTCATCAAGCTACACCACCAGCGCGGGCAGAGGAAACGCTTTCAAAATATGTCATTCATCTCCACGTTGAAAGGCAGTCTATCCATACATCTTTTATACACGTCATTAAATATTGGTACTTAAGACTTCAGTCGTATGAGGCAAGCTTTTTAATTTATAGGCAAAAGGGGGTGGCAAAAGAGTCATCTCTTCTTAGATTTACTTATCAAAACAAAGCCAGTCTGATCATATCTTGAAGTCTCAAGTTGCCATTTGTCAAGAGTCTTTTAGAAAGCCGCTTATTGCATTAAATTAACCAATTCCTAGCCACATCAGGTTTAAGGAGAGTTTCCCTTGTCTCCAGAGACAAACGAGTTACCAGACGTCCTTAAGCAGACTGTCAAACTTTCATGTCTACTCTTTTTAAACACGTAAGGGAGAGAATGGCACAACGAAGTCAGGTCTGTTTCTTAAGAAGGATGTCCTATGGGGAACAAGACGCTCACCTGTACACAACAGAGGGTCTTTCCCGGCTGTCCTCACTGGGGGAGGGGATGGACATCGCCAGACCTTTGTCCTCCGGACCAGAGCACGGCCAGGGAGGGAGGGCGACTTTCTGGGAGGAATACAGGCACCTGCACCCCAAGAAACTACAGACGGGTTTTGACTCCAGTGACTCCCCTGGCTTAACCTCTGGAGGGGCCCTCTAGCTCGGGTAGGGGGTTTGTTGCCCCAAACCGTAGCCACCTCTCGCAGGAGCAGGGGGAGTGGACGACTGACCACTCTAAGGAGTTAGGGATGCCGGTCTTTCCCAACCAGACCCGAACGTCCCCCGCTGTCTTGTGGGGTTCGCCCGGCGGCGGGGTACGCCGGGGTGAGCCACGGCCGCGGCGGGCGCAGAGCCGGTCTCTGCTCCGCGCCCCTGCCGCGTCCGCACCGCCACCGTGAGGCCGAGCCG